CAGGGGTTAGAGCCCCACTGGTGATGCCAGGTACACTCTCAGGCCGGTAGGTCTTATGGGCTCGCAAGATGAGGAGAAGAACGATGAAGCTCTGGCAAAGGTAGTGGCGCTTCGCTGAGCATCAGTTAGGACGGACCCCTCAGGCGCTGCAGCAATCGTTCGACGAGGCTGAGGTTGGTTCTACAGAAGAGCTATCGGAGGCCCCACCCACCTCCACGCGGTACCTCAGCACTGTTGATATTGAAAGCATGGGAGTGTAGGGTGCTGGCATAGGGCATTGTGAGAGGCCCTCTTGGGCAGGTACTTCGAATGCCAGGGGAATGGCACGGCTACTTGTGCAATACATGCTATCAACAACCTGGCTCAGAAGAATACCGTCTCGGTAGGTGGGGGGCTTCTGATGGGTAATGAGGCCCTCCTTATATCAGCTCACGCATCTCCAAGCGGCCGAGTCGCGAGTGGCTCTACTCCAGCGGGGTGGTAGCTTCCTGGCCCCATCGGGTAGTAGGTCGTGTAGAAAGTCCAGAGGCATGTGGCTGTCCATCAGGCATTTCCGTGCCTTCAGCCAAGGGTGGTGACGGTGCTCGTACCGGCTGGTTCGACATTGAAGCGCTGAAGTTGGCATCAGAAAAGCACGCGGGGTAGGGCGAAGGTCTCTTCTGGGTATGCTAGGTCTGCTGTAGGCACATGGTTATCGAGACAGAACCAACACCGGACTTTGCTCGCTCCGCTGGTCAGAAGTTCGTCACGGCAGCCAACGAGGAGAGCGATGGTAGTTGGTTTCGAGGCTTCCTAGTGTACGAGTGCATCCCTGGCCGGGCGATGCACTACTGGTCCCTCCTACGTCTACCGACCGGCGGGGGATGGCTCAAACTGGACTCGCTCCATCGCGACTCGTAAGGTCTTGTTGTTACTGCCAATAGTTGGTACTCTCGTTTTAGTGACAAGAGCCTTGGGCATCGATGTGAGTTCATTGCGACCGATGAGGAACTAGCTGAGCTGTATAATAGCAATAAGGACTACTTCAAGAGCTGGCTCATGCGATGGTGAGAAGATGTTGGCGAGGCTTTGGAGGAGAGCTGAGAGGCGGCAGGTACCCTGTGGTGGATAAGATGAAGGCCCGAGAAGGTCTGAAGGGCCTATTGACGGAGGGTGATGTCTCTGAAGAGGACTGCCCGAGGGGTAAGCATTGTTAGGATAGCTACTGTAACCGTGTTCTACTACTCAGAGGCTACTCTGAATGCTGTTCTTCGTGATAATCATTGGATACCATCGGCGGCCGCTCACACCCTTCTGGTAGACTCCGTCGAACAGGTGACCGATGGGGCTACTGGGCGTGGTTCATAGGCTGCTTTAGGTCGCTCATATGTCCCAAGCACTGTGTTTAGTGGTAACGTCTTCAGTGGCAGTCAAAGTACTCAGAACCACTGGTTGGGATTGGGACCGAGCTGTGAGTTGCTTCGCTCCGCCTTTCTCCAGCAGCATTTATTCATTTTTAGGTCGCCCAGCTGAATGGTGTATTGGAAGAGCGGCGGCCAGATGGTACGATGGACCAGGCTGAGCTCAAACAGCTGGCGCAGAGGTGTCTGGCTACATCCAAGTGGGATGTCCATACAGCCTCGATAGTCATGCACATTGTGAACAGCGTAAGGGAGAGTGCCTCCTCTGGTGGGCTCGATGGCTCTGTCCCTCAGTACGCTTGCGCCCCCGCTGCTGCTGCTGCTGACGATGACCTCCAACTCATCGTTGGTTGTGTGAATTCATGTGAAAGAGACCTCGAAAAGTCGCAGTTGGCGTATAAGCTGCTACGAGTTTGTAGCGGCCTGCAAGAAAGGTAGATGAAGGAGTATCGTGAGGTTGTCAATAGTCTCCTGTAGTTGTGCTGATCCGCCTGGTGATGCTGCCGCAGTGTTGAGTACTGTGGATTGGGATGTAGACAAGGCTTGTGTTGTGA